CGAGCGCTGGAATGGTCTCAAGGACGACAAATATTTAGCGTCGTCCTAGGGGACGAAGCTAATTTTAACGCAAAACTTGACGTCACGTTCTATGCACCAATTCAGTTTCCCCACTACATTGGGCGATGTTCAAAGATAAACGCTATCGCATTCATCGATAACACCCCCCCTGTGGCTTCTACAAATCTCGATCCTTGTTGTTTCGTGACGCGTTTATTTTTGCATTTTCTTTCTTTGTGCCGGCATAAATTTTCTTGTATTCTTAATTTTTTTTTCTGCCCATCTTCCGCGGTTTTTTAAAACACGTCTTTGTTATTAAATGCCCGCTTACTGACTTTTTTTTTTCGACATGTCTGGCGTTTTTATTGTTTTTCGATCGGCGCGGCGGTTGAATGCATTGTCTTGTTTTCAAGTTTCCCGTGTTTTTGCTCGGCATGTTTTCTTCACGTCCGGGTACCGAATTTTCACCTTTCTTTCCGGAACCAGCTTTTATTTTTTTTATAATGCGATAGCGTTAAGGAGCTCTTGTCGCAAAAAAAGCCAGCGTCGGTGGCGTGACGGGAAAAATTCTGATTGGTCGATAGTGTTTTGACGCCACAGCCACATAACCTCACGCGGGAATTTCAAACAACCCACAACGCTCACGTAAAACGGGACGTCACGCATGGAATGAAGGTGGTTAAAGCATGACATGTTATGTGAAATAAAGATCGTGGCATGTCTCGAATGATTTCACTTTAAAAAGTAAATCAATGGCCTTAAAAAAAATTGAGAATTTTAGGCGGGACTGGAACCCATAATCGTTCATTTGCAAGGTAGACACGCAACTGATAAGGCCACGCAATGCGCGCTTGCACGAATGAGAAGCCAATGCAAACGGTGCCCGATAACTCTATCGCGTTCCACTCTTAAAGACGAAGCATAAGCGTCCTCCAATATTTTTTTTTTTTTCGTTTTACCGCGTTCACGCATTTGGTTTCTTTTCTTTTGCCGCGCGTTTCTTTTTTTTTTTTTTATCTTGTCCATGCATCTCAAGCTGCGAGCCAGGGACAAAGGGACAAGGACGACCCCAGCGACGCGGAGTTGGACGCTGGACCGTCGGCGGCTCAAGTCCTGGCCCTCATGGACCGCATCTCTGCCACGCTCGTGCTGGTGACAGAGCGTCTGGTAGCCAGCATGGGCGGGACAGACGGTCAGCGCCAGCTAACGTAGTAAGTAGTGAACTAAGCTAACCTAGTGAATAGCTTTCATGATTTCTGAACGGGCTAGTCATAAAACGGATCGGCGACGAGTTGTAACTTCCAGCATCGATCCCAATACCACTAATCTATTCCAGGCCTCTTTTTTGCCCTTTCTATACTTCGTTTCAGCTTCGGTCCGAGCGCGGCCGATGTTATGAGCCAAAGGGCCAACCATACAGCGCAAAAAGCGCACCGTCATGGCGTGCTCTCTGCGCTTGATAGGACTAGCCGGCGGAGGAGCGCGGACAGAGAGACGGCGAATAGCGGCTGGTCCTATCAACTGAAGAGAGCACGCCATGACGTTGTGCCTCTTTCGCTGTTTGATTGGCCCTTCGGCTCATAACATTGGCCGCGCTCGGACCGAAGCTGAAACGAAGTATAGTATGTACAAGCTGATTTGTCCAGCTCTGCGGAGTGGCTCATCTGAGTTTAATAGTGTATCGCTTAAGAAATATTTGTTTGTTTTATTATAATGTCTGAATAAGGCCGTACAGTATGCATATATGTTTTAGATCAATATAGGTACATAAAGAGGACTGTTGTTCAACGTTTATTTTTCACGAGACCCACAACCCGAAGGTCTTTACGGTAAAACGTGCAACTTGAGGTACACGTTAACTACAAATATAGATACTTAAAAATTATAGGAAAGCTTAAAACTTTTCACATGCTTAAAATGCATATACATGCATAAAAACGGGCAGATAACGCAAAAGGGAGAGCAAAAAGGGGAATAACCGAGTGATGGAGAAGGTGACTGGCTGTATGCTTACCACTTCCTTTTTAAACAAACCAGGCTGGGCGAAAGAAGATAATAAAGCAACCAAAATAAAAAGAAACAGCAAACTGGTGACAGGAGCCAAAGGCTCAGACACCGGTTTCTTGTTTGTCTTTTGTGTGTGTTTCTATCTTCTGTGTTTTCTATTTAAAAACAAAGCAAAAAAACGTAACATTCGTATTAATTTTTAAATAGCATTACCGTCCATAGGTAAATAGGGGCCGTATTTTTTGTCTAAACAATTCATACTAATTTCTTTGAGTAAAAAGACAACACAAAATCAACCGCAAGGCCGCAAACGTGCCCAACTCTCTGCGCATCCAAGCAAACGAGGATGCAACACGATGTTCTCACACAACCCAAGCATGTTCGTTTGAAAACTTAGAAAAACAAAACGTGAAAGCTACACAAATGCGATCTGTGTAATAATGTCGCATGTGCGACGCACGCAGACAAATAAACAAACAGACCTCCCACGCATTCTTCCCCGATCCCTCTTACATGGGTCAAACCCGGCTGGGTTTGGTTGGGGGTTCACCCCGAGCCCGGCGACGGAAGTGCGTCTTTTTTTAAATTCAAGCCAGGGTGACAAGTCGAAAGGAAGCCAACCCAAAATAACATTACGAAGAGGGGATATCATTGCTGAGAACTAGAGTATGTGTTTGTGGGGAGAGTGGGTGCCCCTTGCTGATATACTTAGTTTCAATTTACGAACGAACGCAGTGAACGCTGCGAGCCATCCCAGCAAATCTCGCGCTGAAAACATATCACGAGACTGCGCGCCCCGCGCGTCGCTCCGTCCATCCGTAAGGTCACGTGACACCTAACGACGTGGGGATTGGCTCCGATAGCTAGTGTAGCGTCCGCCGTGCTCCGTCGTGAGGTGAATCGTATGGTAGTCAGAGGGGATTCGCAGTGACAGATCAGGGCCGCTTGAACCGGGTGGGGGCAGATGGGCTCGGCGGAGATCGCTCCTAAGCTGACCCCCTCGAGGCTTGCTTTTAAGGAAGAGAACACTCGCAAAAACAAAACAAACTGAAAAAAAAAGAAAAAAATCTCAGCATTTTTGTTTGGGTTTACGTATTTTTTGTATGTTTTGTTTTATTTTTATACCAGCTCATGTTTTTTACGTCCCACCAAGTCGTTGTGAGACGCTGCAGGCACATATGCCTCGCGATATTAAAGAGATGCGGGTTCTTGCACATGAGCAATAGGAAGAGCTCCTGTGTGTTAAATAGTGTGATTATAGAAAACGAGGTTTATGAAGAGTGTAAACCTTCGACCTGTCTTTTTTTTTTTTCTTTCTTTGTTTTTGTAGTGTTGCGAGATTGTAGTACTTACGGTGTCTTCGTGTGTATGAGGTGTATTGTTGTGAAACCTTGGTTTTCATTTTGATGATTAGTGGACGTTTCATTTTAAACTTTTTTTTAATTTTCTACCAGGGTAACACTCTCTTTGTTTTTTTAGCCTGAATGCTCGATATATACAGATCAATAATATTTATTTCTTTTGCTACCGTATGTAGGATGCACAGTAAAAAAGAAGAGCCTTTTTAATTTGCGTAATATTAGACACGGCATGAAAAAAATTCGTCACTTTCCAAACCCAGTTTTTGCACCTTCAACACATGTGCGCAGACGCTTCACCACCGCTTGTACGATATCGCTTCTGCGATTCCCACAGGTAAATATATAGAACAGCGCAACATCCAGAGGGAAATTTGTTCTTCGAAAAGCTCTGTCCGCGGTAGATAGCTTATCTCAACTATATTTTCTGACTCTCACAAACGCGTATTTAAAAGTCCCCCACACTGCTTCAGAAGCACTCTTGACGACCAAAAGAGGGTGTAATAACCCTATAGCTAAAAAGCAATCATTTGTTTTCTCCAGACGCTTGCTCTTTTTGTGATTCGGGCACGATCAGCTCATTCTTAAGCTTACAGCGAACCCCGCTCACCCCTCCCTGCGAGTGCGTAGGGGCAGGAGCCAGATCACGCGGAGAAAAATTGACTTTTTACTAGGTCCAGGGCCCGTTTGCTCGAAGAGCTAACCGCGGTTAGCGTTGGCCAAAGTCCCTAGTAGGTACCGAAAGTACCTAGTTGTACCTACGTTGTACCTACTACGAAACTTTAATGGCTGGACATAAAACAAATCCGTCCTTTATTATTGGGCTGGAGCCTGCGCCACCTTGTGCTGAAAAAAATAAATCGTTATTTTTTTATGATACAACGTTTGCTTTATGGGAACCGTTTTCGGCTAAATCTAGTTGTAACTTGCAAGAAACGTTTGCTCAATTGAAAAGAAAAAGGATAGTTTCTTTTTTGCATCGAAATTCTTTCTTTCGAAGTGTGGAAGCGTAGACAAGACACCTAGTCAAAGTGCTTTGCAGTTTTCTGTTGTCGTGTTTTGCAAAAAGCAAGTGCGTCGACCGTCGCTTCCAAGTCTGGCAACGCCGTGTGTGCCGTGTCGCGTGCACGGCGTTTGTTTATACAACCAGTTTCGCCTCGTTGCACGCAACGCGCCTTTCTCGTTTTCAGTTATCATCTGAGTTTTCCTGTCTGTATTCTGCCCTTCGACCGACCGACCCACCGACAAACCCTCCGACCGGCCACGGACTGACTGATAAGATTTGCGGACCGATTTCCGACTTTGCTACCGGGCAGAATGTCCAACGCAAGGAATCGCCGACACAGAAGAGACCGCACGGACGCGCAGTACGCAGCGGCAATGATGAGGCGACAGCGTGTGCTGCGGGACCGCCTGAACCCCTTTGAGGATTTCGACGAGGATGGGCTGCAGCAACGGTTCCGATTTGGAAGAGCGGGCATAATGTTTCTCGCCGACACACTGCGTCCGGACTTGGAGCGCCGTACACGTCGTAGCCGCGCCCTCTCTGCGGAGCAGCAAGTGATCATCGCCTTGCAGTTCTACGCAACTGGGAACTTTCTGATCACTGCAGGCGACTATGCATGTGTCAAGTGCTTCACGGGCTGTGAGGCAAGTCACCGTAGCGCTGGCTCGTCGAGCACAAGACTTCATACGGTAAGGGTCCTTTTTTTTTCCTTTTAATTGTAGTTTGCCAGCCGTATTGAAGTAAAGTAAATACACTAAAAATATATCTGAATTGCTGGTGATAGGGATGTTTTGTAGGTTGCCTTTTTATGGCAGTAATATTCTACCTACTAGTAACTAGCCCTCCCTCCCCCCCCCCCCCCCCCCCTTTTCAATAGAAAAAAAAAATGATTACGGCCGTAAGCGTCCTACTTGCCCGATTGGAAAGGGCCCGGGCACGCCATTTTTCTGAGAAACCTCAGAAAGCGACCCGTTTGCACTTTTGGTAAGGACTTGCACCGAATCACAGTCACTTTATAGGTCTTGGTAACTGAACAAAAATAAAAAGGGATCCTATGAAAACATGCAAACTTCACTATTGAACAGGTGCTACTGAGGCACTTTACTGCTACCACAAACTTGAAGGGCACAGCCAAAGTCCTTAGCATTCCTCATTAAAAAGGTATTCATAAGCATTGTAGCTGTAAGTTTACTATATGTGGTTTAATTGCTGAGGGGATCAACGACGCAGATGGCCTGACGCTGCGGAGGGGGCAGCCTTGCAGCACAAGTTCTACGACATGGCCGGCTTTCCTTTGGTCGTGGGTGCTGTTGACGGTACCCATGTCCGGATCCAGGCACCCCATGTGCACGAGGAGGCGTACGTCAACCGCCATGGATACCATTCCATCAACGTACAGGTGGTCGTTGACGCCTCTTCTCGGATTCGCAACGTGGTTGCAAGGTGGCCTGGAAGCACCCACGACTCTCGGATCTTCACGGAGAGCACCTTGGCAGTCAAGCTGGCCAGTGGAGAGTACGACGGCCTGCTGCTTGGTGACAGCGGCTACTCCTGTCAACCATGGCTGATGACGCCATTCCTGTCGCCGTCATCAGCAGCCGAGGTCGCATACAATACGGCACACACGACGACAAGAAGCATTGTTGAACGGTAAATCTAGGCCATATATTGTGAAGGGCACAGAGATATTCATGCAAGACATTTCGAGACGACTAGCTGTCTTGACGTAATATGTGCAACACGTGCATGCTCCTTACGTCTGTTGCTATTCTTTATGGCATAAAAATATTCATACAAATTTTTATATTAATCTAACGAAGCATAAGATACCGTGGTTTTATGTAAGCAAGATGAAAGTAGTATCCTGAGATTACGAATCAATACAACTTATAATAGCTGCCTAGGGTTCTGCGGTTTCAGTTTTTATTTTTCTGGAATCGGCATACTTTTTTCGGTTGTTATTGTGAGTATGAAATTTTCAGTTTTTATCGATGAATATTTTTAGTCGAAAGCTTACTGCCTTTTTCCGGTCGATATCTATTGACCAGTTACGTTTTTTTTCAAGCAGGTTTGTCGAGAATGCAGTAGATTAGGTTCATATCTGAGTTATTCGTCAAGCGGCAACACTTGCGGACATGGCAAACGTAACCTTGGTTATACATGTGCTGTGACGACAAATTCTTAATCGCAAAATTTGCAAACGTAATTCTTGGCAAGCTTCTTTGTTCTTCACATGTGGAGGACTATTAAAGCTGCTTTCCTCTAACCAGATAGCACCTTGAGAGAGGCTGTTTAAACAGCTTTGGTTTTTTTCTTATGCTCCCTACAATGGGAACAGAATGACATTCCATTCCTCCCAGAACAAAAGTAAGACCAAATGGCTTGACAAACAATGAAAACGCTCCAAATCCGCCCTCTAGACAACCACAGCAAACTTGATGGACAAAGGAACGCAAATTGCATCGATGACAAACCCAAATACTTCCTAAAGTGTGCTTCCAACAGAATAGTTTGAAAGCACGGAGATAAGATAGTTGACTACTCGGTCACATGCTTCTATACTCTGTTTACTCGGTCACATGCACCTGTAATGGTCTAAAGTACTGACCATTTAGGTTTAAAATCAAACTTTCGAAACTTACCTCACCACACTTTATTGGGTTTTATCGCTTGAGACTGAAAATGCAGAAACTCAGTTATGTCTTAGGTCCCCAGGACTGGCAATAATGGGGAAAAGCACTAAACTCACCTCAGGTGCCAGTGCTACGCAAGACCCGGACAGAAGTTGATATTTTGTTAATTGGACAAAAAGAAGCATTAATGACAATGGAATTTTTTTCCTAGACACAGCAGTGGAAGTAACACTGTGCCTTGGCACTTTCATATGTCTACTTTTTGAAATGTCAGTTTCGGGCTGTTTAATGAAAACTAACTAAACGTGCTAGATATGTATGTACTCATATTGAGTGCACAAGTACAGCTAAGCTCGTGCGTGCTAAGATGCGTGTGATCCAAAAATAGCGGCACATCGGTGTAAGTCGCAAACAATTGTGTGTTGCTGACCGTCTTGACCGATTGGCCAAGAGTACATGCCTAGCATGACCTATTCTGCTCTCATCGATGGATTTAAGAGTAGTGCCAAGGCATCATTTTGGACAATGTTGAAGTTGAGCATGCAATAACAAGTTTCCACAAATAGTCTCTAGACACCATCTTACACGTCATTCACGACTGATGATGAGTCGCTGCAATCTCAAATGTTCAGGCAAATCTTGCTTGGGATTCCGTTGTGAAAGCGCCATAAGACCCTCTACCAAAACTTTGGCTGCATGCGTCCAGGAGCTTCCACTTGAGTCAGAAATGGCGGTGCGTGGACCACTAACTAATAGGAACACTAGCGGCACAATCAAAGGGTAGGAGTACTTGGATAAGGCGTTATATCAAGTGCTTTACGTTTTACATCTCCCAGACTTACAAGACGGATTCTTATTGATCAATGACAAAAGTAGATGGGTTGCGCTACCACGAACATCTATTCCTGGAGAGTGGAAGGGAAAAGGCTCAACAAGACAAGAGTCTGGCTCTCTTTCTCTTTTCACTCTGTCTCACAAGTAACATGTAGAATGAAATTTTGATGGTACTGTATTTGTTGCAGTATAAAGCTTGGTTACAAGTTAATTCTTACAGCGTTGGCAGCAATCAGGTAGCAAAAAATTCTAACATATTGGCCTGTGCATATGCAGGTGTTTGGTTGGAAGCATATCCACGAAACCCTTTGAGGATAGCGCTTGAATAAAGCTGCACTTTGCTTGTTGCTTTCTATAAAATACATTGCACAGGCTAACCTCAGGTGACCCCGGATGTGAACGCAGTGTAAAAATAATTCGGAAGGAAAATAAAATGGTATGCATAATGCCCAGCTTTCGATATCCTGGAGCAATGGGCTGGAGCTTGGGCTGGAAAAATTAGGAGGTGTGATATCGGGCACGGCAGCCAATTTGCGATTCGAATTCTGCTGTAAATTTGTCCTTGTTGCGTGTCATCCTCTTGAGTATTTGCGTTCCACGCTGTTGTCCGATTTTGCTATTGGGTTTCTGGGAAGGAATAACATGTGGTTTTGATCCATGCGCTCTGTACAGGACAATCGGCCAACTCAAGCGGAGGTTCCATTGCCTTCACGCTGAGCTCCGAATGGCTCCAGAACGGTGCTGCGACATCATTGTCGCGTGCTGTGCCCTCCACAACCTGGCCAAGAGGTACCCCTGCAGGACACCCGTGGCCGCCATCCCCGCTGAGGTTCCCGTTGAGCCCGTAGCAGCCAACCGTGCTGAGAGCAACGAGGCCCGAGACTTTATTGTCAACCATTTCTTCGGCTAAGTGTAAGTGTCTGGATAGGTATCTTCTGGCTGTCCATTTCTAATGCAAGATGCTTTGTTATGATCGTGGCTATTGCTTTCACCTTTTGTTTATCAGGCTTTGCAGATAATTATAAGAAAATTATGTCAGACAGTTGTCTAACTAGATCAAATAATTGCTTGAAATAATATTTATTGTTTTGCTACTTAAACATCAATTGTATTTTTGGAAACTGCAACAGTTAGGGGCTCAACCGTGCTGCACAGTTAGCAAGAAGCCAACAGCTTTGAGATATTGATTAATTTTATTTTAAGCTTTTTTTGTATGATCTAACTGGATGTAAGATTATCATAAGTTCTACCCAAAATAACCCATAAAGGAGTGTGACACACGTGACAATGCTGAAAGTGTGTTATCAACATGACAATGACATTCCAGCAATGCATATATCACTCTTGCACAGATCAATTCGGGTAGTGCTTGCAGATATCCCACATAGAGTTTCGAAATTTGGATGATAGAAATGTAAAGAATGATTGATGGACATCCCCTTATACCTGTTGCTTCCATAGCAGTATGTGTAAATTGCAGCATGAGCGACGAAATAAGTAATGAAAAAAAATTTTCTTACTTCCCGCATTATTGTTACAAAGCTCGAAATGTGTCATTTGAGGCACTTATAATTAGCTCGTTGGAAAGAGTGTGCTCGAAAAAAATCCCTGCCGAAGCTATTGGTCAAACGGGAGTGCAGTGCAATGTCCAACACTCCTGCAATCGCACGCTGCAGCTCAACTGCTTGTTACTGCTTTGGTCTCCTCCCCATCAACTCCTGCACTCTCGCAGAGCTACAAGCATAGGCACACACGGGCTCTCTTAAACTAATAGATTTTGAATTTGATTTCCGGAGTTCATAACAATGCACTTTTCAAACTTCTAACTAATGACACGAGGGATGCTTCTTCAAATTTGTGCACTTCTTCGCACTCTCTGGAGCTCTCTTTTTATACTGTCATTATTTTTTGTAATACATTTCCCACACCGACGGATGCTTTATGGGAAGTGCTGAAGTCAGCCCTATAACAGACTATGTGTGCACAGTTTATAATGAGGCAACTGAAGAAGACAGTTATTTTCCCATTCAATATCTACAAACCGATACTATTTAATGGGTACAGAAGCATGAATAGGAGAGTATAGTGAAACAATGTTCATTTGATACCAATTTCAAAGCTATCAGTACAAATTATATATACTACCCCATAGAATGTTCATTTTTCACTGCATACTCATGGTTACTAGCTCATAGGATTTACATAGTGTACGCTTCTGAGTGTTGAGTCATAACACCTTTCACAGGTTTTTCCAACCTGCAAAGCTTTTCTCTTATTTTTCACAAACCTCCTAGGGTTAGTTCATATTTTCTTCATCCTGGCTGGCATGATAACATCATTTGCAAAACATTTATTTTTAGTAGGGCATTGTCCAGAGAGGAGCTTTATTGTACATACTACACTCTCATTAATTCAAACTCCAGAAAGTCACATATTTTAGTTGGATATATATGATACTAGAGAACATTATGATTTGTTACATGGATAGCGATATATACAAAGCAGATTTTGGCCAGTTTCCTCTACATAGCACAGTAGCTTGCTTATAGTTAATGCATAACTATAAGCAAGTACAGGCATAACACATTTGTGAAAGAACCGTGACTAAGTTTATTCATCCGGCAAAAAAGTCGTCAATTGTGGACTGTTTAGTCAGCACATGAGATCTCAAAACAAAATTTTCAATGCCAGCCAACGCAAGTAGCTCTTTACGGGACTTTTCCTTTGCAGACAGAAACTTCCGGAGCTGAGCGATGTGCTCAAAGGCCTCTGCGGCTGTGACAGTTCGTAGTGGGCCATCCATTTCTTCATCGTCATCTTCACTCTCACTGCTGCACTGTGCTGGCATTACTTTCCGTATTATGTCCTCTAATGAGTCATCATGACAAACACACACATCGTCGTCAAGACTAATATAGTTCGCCTGCACGGCGTTCACATTACGTGTTTCAAGGCCAGAAATCATGATGCCAGTGAGCTGTGCCTCGTCCTCGTTGTCGTCTTGCTCATCATTGCTAGTCTTGAAGCACATAATTTGAACGCCGTTTTCCGTTCATGTGTGCCGTTTTCGCTAATTCATAGTTTTTTGTTCTCGCGGCCCCGTTGACTGCGCTTCTTTCCGAGCACTGGTGCACTGCGGAGAAGCAACACTCGCAAAAGCAAGCTCCGCAGGACTGCTTCTCTGCGGTGCACCGGTGCTCGGAAAGAAGCGCACTCAACAGGGCCGCGAGAGCAAAAAACTATGAATTAAGCGAAAACGCCATTCGAATTAAGTGGCTTATAAATACATAAAAAAGCTTAGCGGGACAACCAAAATTTTTAAACCTGTTTGAATTAACTGGAAGTACGAAATATCCGAGTTCGAATTATCGCGAGCCTACGTACAAGCAGCAAGTAGATTTCAGCTCCAAAAAACTGTTGTGTTGGATAACAGTGTATTTTTTTCTCGGTTGTATATCTATTCTGTGCGGACAAGTGATCACTTTGTGTTTTTATGTATGTGTGTTATTTCCCACCCCTCCTACAATAATGCCCTCGAGGCGATGAAGGTACTCTTTAAATAAAATAAATAAATAAATAAATAAATAAATACTTAAAGAACAAGGTAAGTGGTGACGATTCAAAGTAATAAGAGTTGAAGACCCGGGGCCCCAAAAGGTGACACACGCAACAAAATGATGTAGTGTTGTGTTTGATCCCTTTTTCTGTTCCTGAGTTTCGGGATATTCTTAGTATGAACTTTTTCGTACATAAGCAGCACACAGTCCATAGGTCGCAGGAGCATATCCAGGCAGAAAAAGCCTTTATCTTAAAAGCAGAAGGAATATTTGCAGATGCAAGTCAGAAAGTGTCTGTGGTCCACTCATCGATTACTCGAACATTTTCTTAAAACACAGAAACTCGACCTTGGTCTTCTGCCGGGAGGCTAATCGTCTTGGCGACCTCCTCTCTTGAGCTGTGACGGGGAGCCGCGTTATGAAAGGGAAACATGTGAAGGGATATAGGAAAGAAGGAATTATACATCTGCCTTTGAGCTTAACCCATATTTTTATTTTAGGTATCCATGTAAATTATGTGCCACCTTTGGGGCGTCGAAAGCCTGGGTGCCATACTGCCAGTATGATATTCTGTTGCTTACTTAACCACAGCGTAAAATATTGCGATCAGAACAACCACGCTGGTCTAGTGTAGGGATAGTCAACGACATGGAAAAGATTGTGTGCAAGCTTCCCTTGTAGATAGCATGCATAAAATAAATGAAGTGTCAAACATACCATGTTTGCACGATTCTAACGTGGCCCCGATACTTACATGCAGGCAATTTTAGCTCCCAGATATCGAAAAATTTAATTGCTGCCGATTCTACCGCGCAGGTAAAGTAATGCACTTTGAACACCCATAAGTGCAGCTCTTAGGCGCTCGTTTCCGGCTTGAGCGGCGTCGCCGTCGCCGTCGTCGTAACCGCCGGTGCATGATGGGTAAATTTCTCTGCTAAATCTAGCGGAAAAATTTCTCCGCTAAATCTAGTGAAAAAATTTCCCCGCTAAATCTAGCGGAAAAATTTCCCCGCTAAATCTAGCGGAAAAAATTCCCCGCTAAATCTAGCGGAAAAATTTGTCCGCTAAACCTAGCGGAAAAATTTCTCTGCGGGGTCATGTGACCTGGGGGTCACGTGACCCCCCCCCCCCCCCCCCGCCGAGGTCACGTGACCCCCCTCCCCCTCAGTACCCTTCCCTACTCCTCCTCAAGAGCTGCGCTCTAATTCGGCGTTACAGAGTTGTAAACGGCCTTCACTTTTTTTTTTCATACAACACTTCGCGAGCTCATTGGGTCGCTGGGATTGCGAGACTACGCAGTGTCGCTCCGTGGTTATCGTTTCCCGTCAGTGTGATGACATAAAGGCGAAAGAACGCGCGATACGGATACCAAAATATCTAATGTAAACAAACGGTCACAAAGGCGATTGGGCTAGCTGCCTTGCGTTTTTCTTTTGAGTTTTGGTTTCAATTGTAAGTGCATCTAATTTTAGGCACCCATTTTGGCAAAAAAAATGTGAGCGTTATAATCGTGCAACCAAGTATGTAGGTCAGAAAAAACGCAAAATATGTATACAACACAGCGACAAACAATGCAAGTAGCTCATTACATGAGTTAATCTTGTCCTAATTGTCTTTTTATCAGTTCAATTTGCAGCTGTGCTCGGGTGGTTTCAAGTCTAATGAGTTCTCTTTGCTCCCTGAGCACTTCCTCCCCTATAGCATAGAAACTCCGTGCAGCATCTGCTGCAGCGAGGGTTGCGTTTGCAGCCTGTATGGCCCCATTTGTGTACTTTCTCTCAAGGAGTATATTCTCATGCTCCAGATCCTGCTGTCGCTCGGCCCTTCTCTGGTACTGCTGTGCAGCCTCACGGGTCCAGCGCTGGTTGTGCTGCACAACAGGAGAGGCCAGTGTTCTCTGTGCTGCGTCGTCTTCAACTGTACTGCTGCCAGATGACGAGGGTGGCGGCGTCGTCACCCTTCCCGTGCAGCTGCTGTAGTGACACGCATGACCAGGAAATTGTTTGAGGTTAAAGGGATACTACAACAAAATTTCGGGTTTCATTTTTTGGTCTATATGTGTTCGAAGGAGCAGTATCACATCGAACACAACAATATCTTGTTAAAAAAGTCACGAAAAGGAATTTTAAAACGAATAAAGCGATTGGCAAAGAGCACCAGGTGGATGTCGCTAACGCCTCGTTTGTAATGCCAGTCTAAGAACCTTGACAGCTAGTGACGGTAACTGTCTCGCCTCCGGCTACCACAATAGAAGAGGGGAAGGAGGAACTCTCCTCTTCCAAAGAATCCTTTTTGTATGTCCCAGAAGTTGCTATTGTCCCCCTACAAGATTATAAAAGATTAACCCTTCACTCAAAATTCGTACAAAAGCAGCCGCTTTGGTGGCTGGAACGACTAGGCCATCCTCTCGACGTCAGCCTCGTCGCAGCTTTGCTCGTCCCGAGACGAACTACGTCACGATTGCGTTGGGTGTCACATGCTCTCCGCTGGCTGTTCTCCGAGCGCTTGTCAGGGTGGGCCGTTTGTAACGAAAACTATAGCCACCAGGTTCAAAATACAAACGTGCGATTGTCATTTAGGGATACAGTGGATCATATTCAACCTATTTTTGAACACGACGAGTATATTTTTAATTTCGTTGAGGTATCCCTTTAACGCATAAGCCTTTACAACGATTATCAGCAAACTTAAAAACCCAGGTGACTGACTGGCTGTGGATGGCAGCCCGAGGTACAATATTGTCCTGCATAAAGTTAATGCTCGGGACGTGTTCCGAGCATGCGCAGTGAGAAAAATGGCAGCTCACAGAGGGCTATTGTTGGGCAGGAGTGAACTTGTAAATTTCAGCATAACTTAGCAAACTGCAAGGGCTACAGCTCCAGAGAGCTGCTCAGAGCATTGAAGCAAAGGATTGTGACTAGACACCATACTCGTGCACGTACGTCCTCCGTGACATGATTCTCTCCGTCCTCTATCTCTCCAAGTGATGCATGAGGGCTGCAGTGCATGACATTTTTGACGTCACCCTGGATCAGGGTACATATATGTGTGGGAGAACTGAGTGCAACGTGCGGCAACCTTAATCCAGATGTGACAGTAACACTTGTCATAATTTTACCACATATGTTGGTGGTACAACAGACTGGAGTGCCTAACCCCGCAACTTCGTTTCATTGGCGGTTGGTAGAGTCGCCACATAGACATTTGTACAAGATTTAAAACAAGTAGATGTGGCACACTCACACCAGCCGTCATATGTGATTATTGTGTACCCAAGCACTGTCCGGCTAACTGGGACATTGATACTTTTTCAGATTTTGTTGGCACAGATCAGCATCGAATAAGTCATTGGTGCATTCTCAACTTAATCTCATAAGCGTTACCAAAAAAGAATGGATTTTTGCTACGTTAGCAGGCATGTACGAAGATCATGCAAAAACATTTCCACTGACAGTGGAAAAATTTGGGTATTGAGTGACCTGACTTTGAAGAAAATAGGTGATCTCAACTTGAGAGAAAGACTACCATAGCTTTGTTGATTATGATGTAAATATTTCTTTGTAATTTTGTGGTACAAATAGTTTCAAACTGTGAGTTTTACTGCATTTACCCTAATAAATGGTTTCATTGGCACTTTTTCAGCAGTGCAGAAATGGCTAAATATGTGAAGGTGGTGTCCTTGTGCTGTGTTCTGTTCTCTACTGGACAGGTTTTGACTCGTGCTCCTAATATTGTCGTTTTGCTTCATGAAGTTTGTCTCTATGTAAGGGCACGCAGCAGTAGTGTTATGCAACTGACATGTCTACTTTGAGATGGAAAACCAATATATTCTTTTATGACAATCCAAACTGTTCCCTATGCTCATCAATGTTTTCTAGGAGCATGCCAACAATTGGTGACTTTTGATATGCCTTGTGTCTGTGCTCAGTTTCATACCTATCATCAGTGACAGCAGAACATCCCTATCATCAGTTTCATAACTATCATCTTGTGGAAGTACTCATAATGTGACGAGCAGAACAGAAAAAGAATGCACCTTCAGCGCGTGCTCATTCTCTTCTGCTGCTTGTGCATCCTTGTGCTGTCAGGGCTAGTAAGCTGTAACTGGGTGCAGAGCTTCCACTGTACTATCGCCTCCATTGTCACAGTCTACATACAGTGTGCAACGATATCAAACTTGTAGGCGTAAGGGTGGGCCATTCAATTAGCACAAGTAAGGTGATTGACGAAGCCACGTGCTCATACCTACAACTTTAGTATTGTAATGTATAAAGTATCAACAGGAGCATAGCATACACAGCATGGCCTATAAAGTGTTACCTACTTTTCGGTGTCACCGATGATGACGTCAATCCCACAGATCGTCGGGGAATCGTCCCCGATCACATTTAAAACAGTCTCGACAAGTGGTGTCAGCTGATGGGGGTTGGGACCAGCACCTATGAATTGAAGTACACTTATTTTGTTTTCTAGGATGTAAGCACAATTAAAGGTGGGGGAGGGGAGACAGGGTGTTCATTATTCAACATAGTATCAATGTGCGAATGAACAGAAAACGCGTAAACATGTAATTGCCAATAATGATAAGATTGTTTTCTTACCTTCGTTTTTTTTTTTCACCCTCAGGTTCCTATTATCCGGTCTCGGGTAATATGTGATGTTGGGCAATTTATTTCTTTTTTTTTTTGTTTGACAGCAAACTCACTGTTGCCAGCTACCGGCTAGCCTGGCCCACTCTGCGCCTGAATCGGTTGCGTCGGAAGTGTTTGAAACGTGGAGGGGCGACGGGGCCTCTGAGCTTAACCCCGCCCCCTTTTGCAGCATTGTTTACCGCAGCTGTCTGAAATTTCAAGGGGGGGGGGGGGAAGGGGGTCTGAAGCCCCCCTGCCCTTGTTCCCACGCTACTTGCCTACATACATTTTTCTTCTGTGTTTAGTTGAACAATAGTGTCTACATTGTTTACAGTGCTAAAGACAATGTTTTTGGCAAGCAAAATTTGGACATTAATTTTGAGAAATTACGCAGGCCCACTGCATGGAACAGGATCCAAGGTGCTTTGGGGCTATTTCTGTGTTAGTGCCACTGTGTTGAAACTTGTGCGAGTAAGAGCTAATTAATCTTTGGGCTTGCCCTCTCATGATATTGAGCGAGATGTTAGTTGTCGCGCATTGAATGGGGTCTTCGGTTGAGATATTTGCCCCAAAAATTTGAGGGGCTAATATATCACTCTCTAATAAATTTGTACAGTGCACCCAAAGTTTCCAATAAAGATTTGACAAATATCGCCCTTTTTTCTGTTTTTGTAGCGCAAATATTGGAACTTACCTGTCCGTTGGTCATGTTCTTTGTACAATCTGTACAAAGTTCGGCACTTTTTAAGTAATTTTCTCCATGCTTCTTGAAGCTGTTTCACTGAACGCGGAACTTGGTGGCGGCGGGTCATGGAATTGGCGACTTGGTCCCAGGCGCGTCTTTTGGTTTTAGTAGTCACGGTAGGGCCGAATTTTCCCAGGATTTGGTATTTTCGAGCCTCAACTTCCCGGACTAATTCCAATTTTTCATCTAGGGTCCAATTCTTTTGACGCAGCGGCGCGGTCCCCTTTGAGGTAGTCGCTCGGTTCATTTTCGTTTGCAGAAGGAGCATGATCGTCTGCTACCTTGGTTTGTTTATCTATACAATTGCAACATTATTCCTGCTAACCGTAAAATATTTTTTCAGAAGCAACGCGAAATAACAAACAAGTGCATTTCCAACAACTTCAGTATTGTTTATTTCTCGGTTCTACAACTTTCGCAGACGGCACAACGGAGTTGATTCGGAAAAACTGCATGTACCGGCTTTCTTGGAGGGCGAGTGAATTGAACGATCGGCAGGTCACTGGTCTTTTATGGACAACGTAGCATTTCACTAAACCCAGAGAAAGTTCTGCTACTCATCACTGCTAAAATCCATTGGACCGTTGAGCCTCTGTCCGCCGTTTATCTGCAGAACGGTTGATGCTGCAGCTGCAGTCGCACTGTAAGCAGAATACGAGGATTTTGTACAAAATGGACACCCTGAACAGAAATTTTCCCGGCGTGACTACTTTCAATAAACCGCAATCGCTACTCAAAAGGCAACTCTCCGTAATGCTTCCTTTCAATAAACGTATTCTGATCCTGCTCCTGCTTGAAGTTAGTTTCACAGCGCTCAACATAACGTGAGTATGAGGCTGGCCTCATCACAACCCTATCGCGAAATGTTTTGGTGCTCACCGTAAAACGCTTGTCGTACTCGGCTATCGTGTTCCTTGGAACGCATCCCACATTTCGGCGCTGCGATGCATGATTCTTGCCGTGCTTCAATGAAGCCGATGCGAAGCTTCGACAGTCGGCGACTCCGGGCCACTGTACTTCTACAAATCGGTGACTCTGAGCCACTGTTTGTCGACGGGCTGCTGCCGTCGACTTCAGTCGCAGTCCCCTCGAAATGTCAGTTTCTTTAAGGCGCACGTAGGATACTTGTACACTCTTAACTTAGAACACGGAACCTAAATCATCGCTCTGAAGACAAACACCAATGCGATCCCGACCGCGGAAACTGCGTACGCCGCAGCCATTTTGTCGAACGACGCGACGGGGCAATGCGTAGCTCCCCGTATCCCTACCGAGCCAGTCACGTGACTAAAAAATCCCTCTCCTAGGTACTGCGGCTAACTTTAGCCGCGGTTAGCTGTTCGAGCAAACGGGCCCAGGAGCACGCAGCTTCTACCAACCTCTCAGCTTAGCGGTGACTCTGGTAGAGGGTGCACTTTCAGAAACATTTAGTCACCGCAGGCATTTTCATCGCCATAATGAAGACGACTATGCACTGCGATGAATCCTTGCTTAAAATTTTTTCTGGATTACTTTTTTTTGCCTTTTTGGGCGCCTTACAGTCAGTAAATGATTAATAAAGCAAAAGTGTTAAAAAACCGGCCCACGCACGGTTAGTTAAGCTAACTGGCTAATTAAACTAAAAATTAGTTATCTAAAACAGTACGGAAGGATAAATAAACTGTTTCAAATATGGGACGTCGCTGACGTGGATTAAAATGACA